AGTATTCACTCTCATATGGGAGGACTGATACTACATAACAGTTCAGTACTCTTTGCTTTATTTCTAATAATATAGGATATATGGAATATTTACCATCTCATGATATGAGGGTGTCCTCACCTTCAAGCACTGGACCATTTCTACAGTCCCCCTCCTCTTTATGCCAATGTTTCCTGGAAACATGGAATATTTACAGTCTCATGATATGAGGGTGTCCTCACCTGAAAGGATTATTACTTCCCGCACTGGACATCAATGAGATTGTCTTGTTTCTTCATACTTTGCTTAGCTTTTGGAAGGCATGAAGGGATTGTCCAGCATTCACTGACAAATAAGATGATCAACATGGCATAACAGTTAATACCTCTTTTCTTTGTTTCTAATTAGATTCTTCTATATACTCTGACCATTTAGGATGTGGGCAATCATAGCTCTCCACAACTTCCTGTCCTTTGTAGCCTTTAGTAAGGTTAGCCTTTTTTCTATCTCTCCTAAACCCTATTCTGACAAATATTCATACAAGCTCATTTGATAGGTTATGCATTGCTTTTTCCAGTTCATTTTGCCTTCAAAAAATCCAGAGTTTCAAATCCTCCAATCCACATCTTTTCTTCATTATGTATCCTAGAAATTTCAACTATTTTTTTCTTATTCTATTTTTTTTCCATTTTCTTTGAAGCCTTGTCATTACTCACATGTTTAGTCCATCAGCATCCTTCAGTAGAACCACATTTCTGTTGTTTCAAGTCATTTATTCATCTATATATAGATTGTCCAGCATTCACTATCATATAGGAGGACTGATATTGCATAGTAGTTGAGCACGGTTTCCTTTATTTCTAATGAATTTTTCCTATATCTTAATACTTTGCTTAGCTTTTGGAAGGCATATTTTGCTATCCCAATGCAGTTTTGGATTTCTGTGTCACAGTTTCTATCATCTGCAGAAACATTTCTTAGATCAGAGGTCAGAAACCCCCAGCCCACAAAGGATTTTTGTCCAGGCTGCCAACTTAAGACCTGAACACTAATTATGTAAACAATTTGTGGAGTAAGTGTCAGAAATATATCATTGTAATCAACTTATAATGAGGCAAATTTTTTAAATTAAAATTTAATTCCGAATCTATCACTGACTTCTACAAGAAATGTTTTTCCAATATAAAAGCCAATTAAATAATGTGAACACGATGGTATCATTATTTGGAAGTACATATGTTTGTGAACAACTTTGTTCAAAAATTAAATAATCTAAAAGTCGTTTAAGAACAAGATTTGGTGATGACCACCTGGATGATGTTTTACTCAGGTCATTGACAAATATTTCACTTGATATGGAGAAGTTATCAAACAATAAGCAGAAACAAGTGTCTCATTAAATAATTTGCCATTTCTAACTGTATTTCATTTGTAGAAAGGAATTAGCATTTTTTGTTGTGTTACGCCGGCAGTAAAATAAGGAAACTTGTTTAAATAATATAACATTAACTTTGTTGTATTTTCTTTAGGCATCCAGACCAAGGCAGCCTTCTGGATGGAGCACTTTGAGGTTGAGACAATCTATTATAGTATCATGATATCATGGCCATCCTTTGAGACACTGCAGAGCTTTCTAGCCTTCTCTCTTCAAAAGGTTGCCAACTCCTGTCTTAAATATTTAAATTTTCATACTTTAAATCTCTAATGTATAACTTAAACTTTGAAATACGAGTGTAAGGATATTTCATAAGAGATAGTTAATAAAATTTAATTATAATATCATAATCACTGAGATTTAATAAATACTTATTAATAGGAATATGTTATATTAAATTATTTAATTCTGATTTCTCAAGCTAAATGTTAAGGAAGATTAATATGATATTAAGTGATGATGATTAATTAAGGTAATGTCAGGCATTAAGAAAGATAATCTCTGAACATAAGTCATGACTAAAGCGAACCATGAAAAAGATTAAATCTAATACTTAAGCAAAAATTATATTTGTTTTGATTCCATCAAAAGAAATTAAGTATTTAAAGAGACAAGATGATGCAATTTCAAATTCAATGATAACAATTATTAAATGTGTTACTGTTATGGTAATTTACTCATGCACGCATGGACTCTCCCAACTATAAATAGGAGCAGGTACTGCCTTTTGGAGAGGAAAGTTTCCAGCAGTCAGCTCTGACAGTCAGACCGAACATTCTTGCTGTAACACTCTCATTTGTATATGTTTCTGTTAATATATTCATTAACTCAATTCCTCTCTTTGCCTTTATTTCTAGCCCTAACAAGACCACAACAGTTACAGAATGTGCAGACTGTGCTGTGATGGTCAAGGATTGCACAGAATGCCTCATGAGTGTGGTATGTTGACAGTGATGGATAGTCTTTGTCTAACTTTTGAATATAAGAATGAAACAGTACAAAGTCAATAGAGGCTGCAGGAATTTTTAAGTGTTAATACACTCCACACTCCCAGGTTCAAGAGACAGGTTAAGATCACATGCAGAGGGATGCTAGTGGTGTGCATTCCCTCAAAGTTTTTCCTTCTGCTGCCTCCAAAAATACATCCTGTTATGTCTTCCCTTGTCCTCTAATAAAACAAGTAAGGTTTGGTTTGTTTTATGGTATATCAACCTCAATGGGTTATTTAATACCAATAAGATTTTTATTGCTGGTAATATTGTTTCCAAAAATGTATTGCTGGTAATAATTTTCTTAACATAAAATTTATTGCTGGTATTAAAAACTATTTTTACACTTTCATAGTGTTTTCACCCAAGTTTGGTGGAGTTTTGCCCATAACTGGGACCCTAGCAAGTGCTACCAACCCGGGTCAAGGTAGACATGGAAACACCAGCAATTAAGAGGTGGTTCCACGTTCCTCAAAACTTCCTGATCAGAGTCCTTGTTGCTGGATGCAGTTTATCGTTTTACCCAGGACACAAAAGATGTAAGAAAAAGAAAGTGTCTTTTGTTGGTAGCATCTATGCAGTAGTGTTGGGGTTTAGTGCCAACAAAGAATGCAACAAGTATAATGACTATAGTATTTAAAAACGAGAAATGTCTTTAATAAAAGTATATGCACAAGAATAGCACAATTAATAGAAAATACAGTTTTCTTCTTTTGTGTGCTATGCTCTTTTAAAATGTGAGCAAATCATGGCTCTTCACAAATTCCTTTTCAGTTTTGCTTTAAACAACATTCAACTCTCTAGTATTCGTCCTTATCTCCACTGTGCCATCCATTTAAACAAGCTTGTTAGGTAGGTTATGGTTTCCTTCTGCCCTTCCTGCTTTCAGTATATCCTGTGAGTGTTAAATTCTCCAAACACCTTTTCCTCATTATGTTACACAGAAATTTCAACTGTCTCTTTCTGATTTTACATGCAAGTTCTTTTAATTGCTATTTTTTTAAAAAAACTTCCTCATTGCTCACATGTTCAGCCCATGGTAATCTTAGCATCCTTCTGTAGATCCATATTTCTGTTGTAATTGAAGGAAAAAGGGGCAGAGGAAAGGTAGTGGGGGGCACCTACCTTATAAGCTTGTGTGAATGGATAGTGGAACAGGAACAGTTGAGAAGCTTAGAAAAGGGATAAATGTTGCTTAGGGTTACAAGGGATAGGAGGTTGTAGAGAGCCATGATCGGGCACATCCTGAACGGAAAGGAAACATTAGAAGATCTATTCTATAAAAACAGGCATATTAAAAAAGGATGATAGGAAGCTAGAAAAGAAAAAGAAAAAAATAAGGAAATTACAGTCAGTGCTAATGGTAATATGATAAAACAAATATAGAATCAGCTGACAGGTTTTCGTTCCTGTCTCATCACAGCTAATTAATAGGGAACTAAAATATTGTACACATAGACTAAAAAAGAAAGGGGAAGGAATTGAGGAGAAGTACACAACTATTAAAAATATACCGACAAAGGTCTACTAATAAACAGATCACACTGAGATCCAAAAACCATTTACACAAAGAAAGCTGTCTTGATTTAATATAAATTGTCTCAAGAACTCAAAATGATGTAGTCAACACTGAAAACATCTTCATGGAAGGACGATGTACATTGACAAACTACTTAGATAATTATATATGCACTATTTTCATACTAAAACATAATTATACATGCACTATTTTCATACTAAAAAATAATTATACATGCACTATTTTCATACTAAAAAATAATTATACATGCACTATTTTCATACTAAAAATAGAATAAAATATCTATATATGCACTATTTTTCATACAAAAAAAATAATTATACATGCACTATTTTTAAGTAAAAACAGAAAAAATATTAATACATGTTACTAAAAATAGAATAAAATAATTACACAACTACTATTTTCCAACTAAAAATAAAATAAAATTATTATACAACCACTATTTTCAAACTAAAAAAAGAATGAAATAATTATACATGCAATATTTTCATACTAAAAATAGAATAAAATAATTATATACACACTATTTTTATACTAAACTAGAATAAAATAATTATATACACACTATTTTCATACTAAAAATAAAATAATTATGCCATAAGGATAATTAGTTCTCCACAACTTCTTGCCCTTTGTAGCTATTATTAATGTTTCACTTTATTTATTCCTTTTCTGCCAACCATTGACAAAAGGTCATTAGTTATGTTATGTGCTGCTTTTCTCTGTCCCTCTTGTCTTCAATATATGTTGTGAGTGTCAAATTTTCTAAGCCCTCTGTCCTCATACATCCCAGAAATTTCAACTATCTCTTTCTGATGCTAAGTATGAGTATCTGTTTTGCTTCCATTTTCCTTAAAACTTCATCATTGTTTGCATATTCAGTCCATGGCATGCTCAGCATCATTCTATAGAACCACATTTCTATTAACTAAAGTCTCTTCTTCATCTGTGAGGAGACTGTTCACTCCCATATAGAAGGTCTGATATTACATAAGAGTCTAGCACTCTTCACACTATTTTCATACTAAAAATAAAATACAATAATTATACATACATTGTCATGGTAGATATTTTCAGTCTGAACACCAACATTTTTTCTCTCTTTTTGGGTGGCAAGTTTCTTCTCCAATTCCATCATCTGCTGTTTTCTCTTTTTCAATTCCTGAATGACAAAAATAAAGATATAAAAATTAAAATAACACTGGTGTGGGGGGAAATGTTTTAAACAAATGACAAAGAAAAATATAAATAATCTTACAATTTTTCAGAGTTTATATTCAAATTTGTATAGGATATTCAACAGAAGTTTATGGGTATATCCGTTATTTTTTTTTAAGTGGAATCAACACAACCAATACAGTAATGCCACCAAAGGGTTACAGGGTGTGGAAGAATTAGGAATAGAAAATTTAATAATAACCAGAAAGAGAAGAAAGTAATGAAAAGAACAGTAGATAGCAATTGACACAGCATTTAAAGTTTTACATTCTAAAATTTTTATGATGAATTCAAGGTAGGTAACCTCATTGCTTTCATTCGTTTTCTTGATCATAATTTCTATCTTGGAATATTGAATTCTGTCTTCATGATCTGTGAAGAGTTGTGATTGTCTATGTCATGAAGAGACGTGACATAATTAAAAAAACCTGTTCAGTAAAATTCTTAAGCAATTCTAAAAGTAAAAAGAGGTTCTTAAAAAATCCGAGTAATCTTATTTGAAAATTAGTTTCATCTACACCATTCCATATTATAGATAGAGCTAATTTTCTGATAAAAAAATTCTCGGATATATATATATATATATATATATATATATATTATATATAGTGAACAAGAATGTTCTTTCATTGCCACTTAGGAGACAAAAAAGTTAAAAAATGAAAACAAACCATAATAAGCATGCTTTCAACCTTGTTTTACATATCCTATAAAATCCATTCTAGAATGTGGTCAACACACCTTCTCCTTGGATTTTCTACATTACAAAAAATGAAAAAAAAAACAAGAAAAGAAGGCAAGTGAAATGCTTACATATTCCGAGAAATAATCAGCTCCAATGCATGGAAGTGACAACTCAATGCTGACATTTATCGAAGCCCCAAAGAGTCTGGAAGATTTCAACTGTTTCTGGCATTGTGTACAAGACAAGTACTGACAATGAGATGACTGCCACTGCTGAAAATGATATCACTTGATTTCTAATCTGTAGAACGTAAGTTGACAGTTCTGCAGAACTTGGTCAACTTGATGCCAAGCTACAAATGACATTCTGATCATTTAATGGCTGGCTGAGAATTGAAACTGCACACTTTATGTTTGTCATGAAGATTCAGCAAAGGCAATAAAACAAATATATTGAAAGAAAGAATGAGGAAAAATAAAACCTTTCAAGAATACTTGAAAGAAAAAGAAGAATTCTTGAAAAAAAAAAAAAAAAAAAAATTTAAAAAAGTGAACAAGGTCTAAAAAGGATTGTGATAAACAAAAACGATATTAATATCAATGATAAATAAAAAGCTAAAATGATAATTAAGAAAGTGTTTCAAAGACGATTTCTCTTACTAAAAAGTGCCAACAAGAAAAATATTAATTATATAATAATAAAAACTAAAATAAAAAAAGATATTTTTCTGCATTAAAAATAAAGCAATGATAGACTTTATAAGAAACAAAAAAAACAAGCACCTTGTCAAAAACATTCTTTTTCAAATATGATACTGTTTGGCACTTAAGACCTGCACATGTATGAAACAAGACCAAAAGAAATTGTCTACTCATTTGTTCTCTATTGAGAAGAAAGTGAAACAATTTCCAAGCTTTTTGTTTTGGGATTTTTGTTTAACAAATATTAGAAAAACTACAAAACATGAACAGAAAAAAAAAAGAGAAAAAAAAAGACCAATTGTTTATATATAAGTAATGAGTAAGCTTTACTTAGTCTGACACAAGGACATAAGTGCAGATCTCTCAGTAAAGATTGTTTTCAGAGCACAAAATTAATGACATGTGAAACAAGATCACCAAACATATCCTCACATTGTGACACTCATGTATATACACGTATGCATATTGTTTAAAATTTGCTATATTTATAGAAGTGTATTCAATATCAGAAATAGTGCATTATATAGTTTGGACATAGGAACCAAAAATGCATGGTGACTGTCAGTTTCATACCTCAATGCAATCTTTAGGTGGAGTGACTATCTTGTTGATTCCTATGTCCACATTGTGTGGGCATTGTCATAATGTGTATTTTGTGTTATCTAAAGTCCACACTATGAAATAGTCAAATTTACCATCTTTGTGTAGTGGGCTCTTCTGGTGATGCAGTCACCAACCTCAACATAGCAAACATTTTTTGATAAAATTGTAAAAACAAAATATATTCACTAATTACTAGAAATAAAGAAAAAAGCAGAGTAACAAAAATATTGATAAGTATATATTTGAAAAATTACTTAAGCATTGCTATCATTTTTTGATGGTATGAGTAGATTAGTAAACTATAATATTATAAATCCCTAGAAAACAGATTTATCTAGACTTCCTGTTACCTTGTTTTTTTTTTAAATATTCTGGATAAATTTAAATTTAAACCATTTGTAATTTCAGACTGATGAGACCAGAGTTAAAACCTTACCCATTGAAATAAATTATAATTTATAACTGTGTTTTTGAAGATGCGTTAAGTTTTTCCTTGATGTATATCATATTGCTCTGTATACTATACATTGAGCTCTCTTTATGTATCATCTTTTTAATATTCTATATTAAAAAAGACCTACTTGGATTATACTTTTAAATTACAGATTTGATATATATATATATATATATATATATATATATATATATATATATTCATCTACTGTTTATATATAGATATTTACACAAGGATGAGTAAAAAATTATAAGCACTTTCACCATAACATTACTTAAGGTTTGTACCAATTTTCTTGCTACTGTTGAAGTGTACACATGACTGCTCTGTTAGCAGTGTGCACCAAGGAGGAACAGATCAGTGATCTGATTTCTCTGGTCAGAAGGTGTGTTAGGGGCTTAAATTTATTGCAGGCTTTTAACACATTATGGCAACAATGCATTACCACATAAAAGTACATATGAGTAAATTAAGACATTAAAATATAGCTAGACAAGCTGGACGCTCATTAACTTCGACTGACAAAAAGATTCAGCAAGTTTGAGAGATATTAATGGTGAATCAGCATGTTATCATCGATGAGGTAGCATTTTCTCTACAGATTTATATTACTGCGCACTACTAATGGAGACGGCATGTTTACACTGTAAAAAAGCAAGAAAACTGGCATGATCAAGACCAAACTTTGATCACATCACCACAATAGCACTGATTATAAGCACGAAGGAGCAGAAGGCAATGTAACAAACAAAGATATGCTACCACAAAATTTTGTAAAATTTTTGACATACATATATATATCTCACATATATATAAGATACTGGACTATATAGGGATGATAGCCTTATAGTTGTGAGGAAGTCTACAAACTTTAAAACTAAGACGATCAGAAAGATAATACAAACACATACATATAGAGACATTATATATATATATATATATATATATATATATATATATACACACACACATGCACACAAATATATATGCACATATACAAACGCAGACATATCTATATATACACACACACATATATATATATATATATATATATATATATACACATACACACACACACACAAACACACGTGTTTATGTGTGTGTAATTAAAAATTCACTCAAAACCCACTCTATTCACACTCCTTCTCTTTCTTTTGAACAGATAATGAGGTTTATCCCTTGTTACCTGGTTCCTTCTAAAGTCTTCTCATTTTCTTTAACTCCCAGTAACTCCTTGCATCTTGGAGGCAATATTGCCTTGATTGGGGCAAAATGATTAAAAAAAAAAGAAAAAAATATCTCAAATGCTAGTAGACGTAAATTTTATCTATAATTTCAGTTATGAACAATGATGCAGTGTTCCTTTTTACTGTTCCTGTTGAGATTTTGGAAATACATAGAGTTTTTATGGCTAAAGCAAGTGAGCTCAAAACAATACTAACGCAATAATTATGATTAATTTTTAAAAATGATTATGAAACAATTCTGAATAGGATATTAAAAATTTTCTTATAAACAAATGCAATGATAAATATTTCAGGATGGAAGAAGAGAAAAAAATGTAGAACAATAAAGTGATGATAATAAGAAGAAACGAAGAAGAAAAAAAGAAATATTTGAGATGACAAAAGGAATAATGATGATGATAACGATGATGTGAAAAAAAAAAAAGAAAAAAAAAGATGTTACTTGTTCTTTACCAACATTAAAATCACTACCATTAAAACCAATGATAATGACAGAAAACAGAAAAAAATAGCACATAACATTTAAAAAGAGAGAAATAAGAAACTTTAAAAAGAGACAAGAACATTAGATGCAGTCCAAAAGTGGAGATCAGAGAAAGAAAGTAGAAAAGTAGAAAAGATAAAGACAGCAACATGGGTGTCGTTTTTGTCATTGTTGTAAGGGTGGGGAACCATTTTGAAAGCATTCATTCCGCCAAAATCAAAAGTAATTATTCTTGCATGCAAATCTACTAGTCAGATTTTGCACAAAGTCCTTCTTTGACAAGAAAAGATCTTTTTTTGATTTCATTTTAATGTTTCTTTCATTTTTTTTTTTTGTTATGTGAACTTTTTAGTCTTCCTGACAAAAGAGGGCAAAAGAGAAAACCCTAAGCGATAACAAATGACACCTGACAAAAGGACCTGCTTTTACAAACATTCAAGCAATGAAAAGTATTCATTTATTCTATTCTAGAATATTACTTTTTAGGAAAGAGGCAAGAATTTGGAAAGAAATAATGTACTGGAAAACCTTGATCAAAATAATTCTTTTAGGGGAGTGGGAGGAAAATAAACAAAGAAAAATGTGCTCCTCACTTGACTGAAAACTATGATATTCTTGTAAGAGTGTCTTATGGTCAATTTGAATGTAAAAAAAAAAAAAAAAAAAGAAAAAAAAACTGGTTGTTCAGTCAATGGATGCTGATTGTTTTATTTTACTAGAAATGGCTAGTTTCACCATTGCCTCTGATACCTAGCCAAATGAATCATTCC